GTGTCTCTGTTTCTATCTTTCTTCATGTTTGTCTTCAGATTTCCCATTCTCAAAAGCACACCAGTCATATTAAAATACTGCCCATCCTAATCACTTCATTTAATTTAGTTTTCTTTGTAAAGATTGTATTTCCCAATAACCTCATGTTCTGAAATATTGAAGATTAGGATTACAACCATGAACTTGTTAGAAGCACAATTCAATGCACAATCCTATTGCATTAATGACTAAATTTTGTTAATGTAGTTTTCATACAAGTTACATATTTCCATAATAGATAATAGTTCTTATTAATACTTTCTGGAATAGGAATATTTGTATCATAAATCAAACGTGCATTGTTTATTTGGGGAGGCATAATTATGTCTATTGTATAGCACACTGTACTGCAGTGTGCTCAAGAATTTTTTTTTTCCTTTTATGTCCTTGAGTTCAAGATACCATCTGTTTGGGGTGTAACACAGTAAATAATTGGATATGGAAGAACAAAGAATCAGGGGCACATAACATATCTTTATGAAAGTTGTCTCAAAAAAGGGGATACCCATGCTTTAACTAAGCAAAAACTGTTGTTTCATCCAAATCTTCTACTGGGAAATTGTTTCTTTTTTTTTTTTTTTTAAACTTAGTCGGCTTAAATAAGCATTGAAATAATAAGAGCCAGGAAAAATCATTGAGGCATTCATTTAATTAAAATCAATATCTTCATCATTTTTGGTGTTTATTGATGTTTTGTTCTATTATTCACTTGAGTAGGTGAAACCTTCTTATAATTTACAAGGTGGTGAACTGGAAACCTGTTCTGTGGTGCACAGACATTATTTCAGGTTACAGATAATTTCAAACAAACATAGTCAGTTACTTTTATGGAAACTATAAAAATAATATTGGTGAATAAAAGAAACAGGACTGTTTGGTTTTTCTTTGAACTGCACTGATTTTGTTTGTTCTGAGTAGAATGCCATCATCAAGGAAGATAGGGTTGATCTGAAGGCAGTCATCTGAAGAATAAAAAGTAACCTCCTCCAGTTCAGAATGCTGCATGTCTCACCTCTTGATTATTTACTTGCTTAGGACTGCATTATTAAATAATATCATCTTACTTCTACCTATATCTTCTATTTCTATTGATGGCCCTTTCATGACAGAATAGTGAGTTATAGATATTAATAAAGAATAATTAATTTAGTAAACAAATGAATAAAAATCATAGACTGGGTATACATTGTAGCTCAATTAGCATTTTCTTGTCCTTTAAGATGAAAAATCCAAATTAATCATCATTTTCTTTTTCTGAACGCTTATCCATGTTTACATTTTAGTATATTATTAAAATATAAAGTCGTAATTTCAATTATTAGCATTATGCCATAAATTATTGACCTTCACAAAGTTATCTGTTTTAATTTAAGTAAGTCTCTATTCTGTAGCATTTCAATCAAGGTAGGACGATAATGTTAGAGTGTAACCAGGTCTGTATTTTGGTTAGTTATCAAGTAACAATCCTAAAAAGACTGGCCAGGTACAGAGTCAATCTACAACATACATATACTTAGGGATGATGAGAGAAGTTGATAATTTAACTAGAACTTTTTGTATGAAAGTCTGGGTTTTGTTATATTTCATTAGTAAGGGAATTTTTTGCTTCACCATTAAAATAATACGAAACTCTCCAAATTCCCATAATGATGTCATTTAGGTAATGTGTGTTTGTAGGGCAGGCTTTGATCAAAGAAGATGTTCAGAGAGAGTGGTTTTCTGCTTTAATTTCCTGCCATTCTGGGAAAGCCGGGCAGGATGTGTGCCAGTGTGTCAGAGGAAAAGTAGACTTAAAAGTTAAGCAAATATAAATAGGTTTAGAATATGTACCCCAAACAAGATATTGTATTGGGTGTAGTATCTACTTAGGTCTTTAGTCATTTAAATGTTAGCATGTCACCAAGTGAGAAGTAAATGAGTTTTGTAGGTACACACACAGAGGTATATAGTCATGAACTAAGATTCTTACTAAACCTGTATTTTGGAGCCTCTTGTCAGATATTATAATGAGCATATAAATAGATCATAAAAATCTAAAAGTGGTGCTCCATGGTATAATAACTACAAGCAGCATTTCCCACAACTGCCAAAAGCATGATCAATGGTCAAGGGGTGTGTGTGTGTGTGTGTGTGTGTGTGTGTGTGTGTGTGTGTGTGTATGTGTGTTTATTATCTAGACATCTGGGTGAAGAATGGTCAAGAAATCTTGTCTGTGACTGTTTGGTTTTCTCTGTATAGAGTCATTCAATATATAGACAAAAAAAGAGAATAAAGGAAATACTTTTCAACATCTGGCAGATTGTGAATATTATCGAGAGCGTTTTATAGATCTGTCAGGCGAGGAAGCACCACACAACCAAATATTTAGATAAAGTTGACCCTCCTTAGAAATTCACAGTTTAAAATATAGTCCTTAAAAATGCTATTTAGAGCTACAGATTCACCCATTCTAGAACTCAGAGCCATAGGACTCCCATATAAACAAGGCAAAAGGACCAGTGGAGTTCTCCAGGTAGAGGCATCCAAGCTAGAATTCGGGTTTCTGATCACATATCCAGACATTGTCAATTTGCTTAAGGTTTTGTAACTGCTCGTTATTGTAGAAGCCTAAGTGATAAAAGGAAAACACCATTGGCTTTCTACACAGCAGCACACGAACGGAGTTAATGCTTCTCCAGCGACAGTACACACTCAGGAAGTGCATGCTCTTCCTTATTCCAAACATGACAAAAATATTCTCTGCACAAATGTAAATCTGTTGGACCAAAGAAAGTACTAACTGGCAGAATCATTGGGGCCTTTATTTCCAGTGTGGTGCAGTTTCTGTCATCTCGGTTAGTGCCATTCAGGTATGGTCTTATGGGAAGGCAGAACAGATACAGGAACTGGGCATCAGGTGTGGTAGTGGAGTGCTGATGTGTTTTGCAGTTCTTGTAGCCATTGCTGTAGTGTGTCTCCTCACACAGACGCTAAGTCATCATGTGGTAAGGGGTGAGGCTGAGTTCCAGGGGGGGGGACACATATGTTTTCTATCTTTCATTTTTATGAGCAGTTGGTTCTCTTTGAAAGCTACTGCAGCTAATAGAGAAGTTCATTTATGTATTTGTTCATTTATTCATTTATTGTCTCAAGTGTGTGGTATCTGTGTTTGTGTACGTGTGTGTTCACATGGGTGTGGGCACATGTGTATGGGGAGATACGGTAGTTACAGGTTGATATTGGTATCTTCCTTGATTGCTCTCTTTAAAGCAGGGTCTCTTTTTAAACCCAGAGTTTGTTTGCTAAGCTAGTCTAACTATGTGGCTTGCTCCAGACATCCCTGTCTGTGTTCATTAGTCCTGGGAATAAAGCTCAGCCACTGTGGCCCCCAGCATTTATTTGGGTGCTAGGGATCTGCACTCAAGTCTTTAAACTTGCTTGCCTAGAAAACCCTTTATCCACTGAGCCATTTTCTCAGGCCTTCATGCAGAGAGGTTGTAACTTGTTTTGTCTATTGAGAGTAAAATTTGACTTAAAGCATTATTATGGGTATTAGCTAAAATCAATCAACAAACAACCAGAAAGCATTATCTCAGATATATCCCTGTTGCTGTGATCAAATAACCCTCACAAAAGCACACATGAACTATGAACCAAAGGCTGAGGGGCCCCCAACTGGATCAGGCCCTCTGAATAGGTGAGACAGTTGATTGGCTTGATCTGTTTGGGAGGCATCTAGGCAGTGGTACCAGGTCCTGGGCTCGCTGCATGAGTTAGCTGTTTGAAACCTGGGACTTATGCAGGGATGCTTGGCTCAATCTGGGAGGAGGGGACTGGACCTGCCTGGACTGAGTCTATCAGGTCGATCTCAGTCCTCGGGGGTGGCCTTGATCTGGAGGTGGTGGCAATGGGGGGTGGGCTGGGGGGAAGGGAAGGGAGGGCAGGAAGGGGAAGAACAAGGGAATCTGTGGCTGTTATGTAGAACTGAATAGTATTGTAAAATAAAATAAATAAAAGGAAAACAAACAAACAAAAAAGCAGATTCAGGGAGAAAGGGCTCACTTTGGCTCACAGTTCTAGTGTGCAGTCCCACTTAGTGGGAAGTCCCGTTGACAGAAGCTCAAGGCAGCTCACCACATTGCATCTGCAATCAAGAAGCAGAAATGATGAATGTTTGTGCTCAGCTAGCTTCTACCTTTTCAGTCATCCATTGCCTAAACCCTTGGAATTGTGCTGCCCTTGATCTTCTCACCACAATTCATATGCTCAAGATCATCCCTCACAACTATGCCCAGAGACTAACCTAAACTATTCTCTGCCACATTGTGCCAGATTCTTGACAACTAGACAACCAATATTAACCATCACAAGGGTAAAACTAGCAAGAAAAAGAAGTAAGTATAAATGTTTTACCTAAAAATATTCTGAATTTTATGTTCTTAATGTTGTGTTGCTTTGTTGGTTGTGAGGGTCGTTTGGTGAAGATATGCATGGATGCTCAGTAACTATAGTTTCGCATCTCTATGTAGAGTTTCTGAAGTCAGATTACACCTTGCATTAGCCATTGTGACAAAGGCCTGAGGAAAATAAACTGGAAAATACAGGTTTATTGTGGCTCATGGTTCCAGGCCACAGTCATTCATTTTTAACATCGTAGCAGAATGTGTATAGCTCATGGTGGAAGGAAGGCGATATCTAATGGAATTCTGGATGGAGGAAGAGAGATTGGGAATGGGGAGAAGAAGGAGGAGGAGGAGGAGAAGAAAAAAAACAAGAGGGGGAGGAAGAGAAGAAGAAAAAGAGGAATGGAGAAAGATAGAATGCAGTATTCTTATGAGCATAGCTCTAAACATCAACTTACTTCAACTAAGTCCCACTTCCTGTCACTTCCCAATATACATCAGAATGTGAACCCTTCACTGGGTTAATAGGATGATGAGGTCATAGCCTCATACTCTAATCATTTCCCAGAGCCCAGTAGCTGGCAACTAATTCTTGTATAGCAAATGTAAAGGTTTGTTTTCATGGAGTATGGCTTTATTTTAATTATATACAAATGACTTTAGCAGGTACATTAACATCGCGGCCTTCATAGTCCTCACTAACCTCTGAATCAGAATTGGATGCTTAATGTTATGCTAGGATTTCAGAGAGCATCAGTGTCTGCAGTCCACAGACTAGGTACTCTTTTTCTCCAGGGGGAAAAAACTATTGCTGTTCAAATTATTTGTATATATCTTACTGGGAAATTCACAGCCTGTAGAAAGAAGACAAAACACACGCAAGTATTAACAGATAAGAGTATATATAGTCTTGCAAAAGCCAGGGTTTTGAAGATAAGCAAACACCTTGTTTGGAAGGTAAGATTTTTTTGGTATGTACATATCAGAAATCCAAATATAGTGTCTTGATGAGCAAAACAGGTATAATAACATCCTCTACCCCTACATACTGAGTAGCAATTCTAGAATAAATTCAAAGCCAAAGTGTGGATAACTAAAGTATTTTAAGAGTTTCTCTTTTCAACTACCGTCCAAAGTATGTGGATTTTGTTTATAGGGCTGTCAGATGACTTCAAAAAATATCGGAGGACAGCAGGAATAGAAAGCCTATGAGGTCTCAGCCCTACACAAAAACCAATATGCAACTCAGGAATGCTGAGAGTGGGAAATGTAGTTTTCCCAGGAAAGAACACACAGATTGATTATCTAATACCAGATGATCAACACTGAAAACAGGCATAGGAGTAATTTTATAAAGACTTAACAGGCTGTATTTACATATTAGAAATGTATGTGATCGTATATAATCTATAGGATATATTATTTGTGCATAATTAATATGTATATAAATATGTATGTAACAGTAATAATATAATATTAATAATATAATGTATAAATATGAATTATATAGATATGATACATATATTAGTAATAATATACATATAAATTATGCGTTAATATACTACATGTGTGATTAATATACATGTATATGATATAGATCATATATATGCAGTTGTTTTTATATAACAACAATTAATGAGAAGCCATGAACTTGAAAGTGATCAAGGAAGAGAATATAGGAGATGTTGGAGGGAGGAAAGGGAGGGGGGAAATGACATAATTACAATTTCATAAAATAATAAAATCATCATATTAGAATGATGATATAATAATAAGATAGTTTAGCAGTCTGTATATTGTTTCAAGAAATGGTGAATAGGTAAGAGTCACTAAGTGTAATTATTAAATATTCAAAGAAAAGTTTACTTCCAAGCACCCAGTTCCATTGCAGGTTCAAGTCATGGTAACAAGGGCAAAAGAGAGGATGCTTCTTGAATTCTGACCATGGGCATCTTAGGCTTCCATGAAACTTCATCCCTTAATTCTGCTCTCATTGCTTTGTTCTGAAACATAGCATATGACCAAACCAAGATGGAAGATCTCAAAAAACTAGTACTATTTTGAACTGAGTCACATCTTTAGTAAGATTAGTGTTCTGTAGCTGAAAAGGGAAATGGAGAAAAGGTTTGAAGTAATTAGTTAATAACTAATGATACTTCCTACTAATTGAGTAATGATTAAACTCAGTACTCAGTAACTGTTGTCTACAACGTCATTACGTAAGTAAACTGAGACACACAAGCCTTGCATGACATGGAATATTAACCAGCTAGGAAGTGATCAAGACAACAAACAGGAGACCTGCTTCTAGACATAGTGATGGTGCTGTACTGCACGTATGTCACATATAACAAAGTGCACACTTTAAAAATGATGAGTCTGAGCAGGATAGAAATGACAGATTCAACAGGGCAAAAGTGCTGGTCTATCCAAATTGCCTGTCCCTCCTACTTAGCTCATGTGATTCCAAAATAAAATATGAAAGACTAGTCTTTCTACGACTACATATCAGTTAAGACATTTTCTGCATCAAGTCACAAAAACCCAGCAGAAACTGTCCCAAGCAATTATAAATCTTATTAGGAAGGAAATCCAAAAGCTTAGCATATACAAAGTCTACTGTAATCATCCTCTGGTTTTTTTCGCATATAATTCTCTTTGTTTCATATTTCTCTATGGTTGAGGAATACAGGTAATTCAAGGAACTTAGAATCCACTACAGGATAAAACCAGGGAAACCTCCAGGATAATGATGGAATGAAAATTTCCATGGCAGAGAACTATCAGTTTATAGTGGAGCAGGATGATGGATCCAAAAACACCTTTGCAAGACAAAAGAGGCCGATACAAGTTATTGTTAGCTCATTTCTCTTAATGTGCTGGTATATTTGAGTGTATCATATTAACCAGGGAAGTAAAATAATAGTAGTGTACAGAATACTAGAAAAAAAATGACCAAAAATGATTAAAATTTCTAGGAAAAAAAACCCAGAATCAGACCACATTAGAATTTTCTATGGTCCATTGTTAAATAGCATATGAAATATTCAGTCCTCCCTAATTTTTTTCCCAATGAATTATTTTAATACAATTTGGCAAGTAGATATCAGGAGAGGTGACTTGCTCCTATCTACAAATATAGCATGCATTCTAAAAATCTGTTTAAATTGTTGCTTTTCATTCAGTAATTTATGGAAAAAGTTTTATAGGCTAGAAAATAAAATTCACCACACAAGTATAAACATTACCCTGGTGAATTATAACAACATCCATAAAATTTATGGGCAAGGTAATCTGTTAGATGCTTATTCACATGTGGAAGAGCAAAGTAAAAAGTAAAGCCAAACATCTGGGACCAGAATCTATGTAGTCAAGAGGGTTATGCATTTGCATGTCAATTATCATCATGCCCTGAGGAACTCTGGCTTTGAAAAAACAAACATTTCCCCCAATAGTTGCTTTGGTTTGAATGTCCAAAATCAGTGATAGATGGCAGTTTATGTTGGAACTTAATTTTTGTCGAAAACTTACTCACTTACTGTTCATAAGGCTTGTTTGTCTTCCCCGCCACACCCCACCCCCCACACACACCGTGGCAAGAATATTATCCTAGATATTTTTTATAATTTTTCTGAAAGTAGGAAATTTGAAGTAGCTTGATGGGCTAAATTTGAATATTTAATTAAGCATATCAAAGTCTCAGATGGTTGAATTTTGTCTTAGTTTAGTCTTTGAGGTTGAATATTACAGGAATGAACTTGTATGAATTTAAGCCAAAAATAACAAAAGGAGAAAGATTGGGAAAACTGCATTCTCAGGAGACATTGACCTCTCAGTGACTTCCATGTCAGAAGTACTGTTGTGGCCAAGGAGGCCTGGAGCAGGCGATGGAATATTGCCCTATGGATATTCTCAGTGGCTGCAGAGACACTTGCTTTGCTTACATTTCTCTCAACTGTGGCTGCAGTAGTTAGCTTTCTTGTAACTGTGTCAGAATAACCCAAAGGAAGAACTCAGAGGAGGGAGGATTTACTCCGGTTGCCAGTTCAGAAGATTTGTCACTGTAAGCAAAGTGTGGCAGCTGGAGCTTGAAGCTAGAGAACTCAGGCAGCAGGCCACCCCTAGTTACCCACTTCCTCTAGCTATGCCCCACCTCCTAAGTGTTCCACAATCCCAAACAACACCTACCAACTAGGACCAACCTGGGACCAAACACAGGAGCCTGCAGGGTTCATCTCACAAACCAACGATGCCAGCTACCTAATCCCATCACTTCTTTCACATGGCAACAGAATACCAAAATTCTACAAGGTTTACTTCTTCATTCAACAGACCAGCTCATGGAAGGAATGCAACACTTTACACAAACTCTGGATTACTAAAGAAACTTTTGACTTATCAGATTTGAGACATATTTTCTTTGGGGGCCATGTACACTCCATAAGAAATCGAAGCTATCTTAGATACACATAGCTGCCATTTCCTACACCTAGTATTCTGTCTATGAGGCTTAGGAATCAGACCACAAATGAGACAGGATCAACCTGATCTTACTGTTTATTCCCATAATTTTGCTAGGATGTTCTATATGTCCAGCACTGGGGGAACCCCTAAAATCAAAAAGCTTGCTAAACAAGTGAGTTGAAATAGGATGGCCTTGGTAAACACAGGGTTTACATAGAACAGAGTTTCCAGAGTGTTGCAATGAAATCGGTTTTGTTGTGGTGGGCTGACATCTATGTCAGTGCCCAAGAAGAGGCATCTCATTAATACTTGTGAGGCTAAGGGTGTCTTCCTGTGAAAGTCATCTACACTACAATAAAATGACAGCACTACACAGCAGAAAGCCTGACCAAGCAGATCCAAGTGAAATACACGTGACCAAGACTCAGACACTCATGTACACATAGATAATATTGAGGGGTTGAAAACAAGTCATGAAATGTTGATGTGTGTTTTGATTTGATTTCTGTAACAATGTAAGACTGGCCAGGCGGTGGTGGCGCACGCCTTTAATCCTAGCACTCGGGAGGCAGAGCCAGGCGGATCTTTATGAGTTCAAAACCAGCCTGGTCTATAGAGCGAGATCCAGGAAAGGCACAAAGCTACGCAGAGAAACCAAGTCTCAAAAAACCAAAAAACCAAACAAACAAAAAACAAAACAAAAAAATTGTAAGACTGAAAAATGATGTGTTGATGTTGGCATCTTTCCATAAATATGACCACTAGCAATTTCTAACTTGCATTTTCCCAGTACAGAAACTGTAAGAGGAGAGCTACCCCTGTTTCTCAGGAATTTTTAGGAAAATCTCTCAGGGCCCACTGTCATGGAAACAATGTGGAATATTCAGACAGATGCATTAGACAGACACATGAAGTATTTTGATGGGTTAGGGATTCAGTAAGGCTGTACTTGCAACCCATGCCTAAATAATAACAAGGAGAAGAGGAAGAGAGAGGAGGAGGCAGGGGAGAGAAGGATAAGGAGGAGGGAGAGAAGGAGGAAGAGGAAAAGGTAAGGGGGGTAGTGTTTCTTTAAAGATACCATGGTATTATTAGCAGAACAGTTAGGTAAACCTAAGAGAAGTCTCTAGAGTGGGTAGGGGACTCCTTCAGTGTTAACTGTACACTTTATATTTTTCATTATACAGTCTCAAGAACAAAGCTCTTTCTGTTTTAAATAGAATCACTCCAGGATTCTGTCCTATCAGAAAAGTGACGTGAACTAAAGGATGGATTCAAAGAGTAAACTTTTAAACCATACTCATCTTTGTTTCCTGGATTACATAAGCATTTGAAAGTGAAGAGAACATGATTTTTTTGTTGTTGTTATTGTTTTTTTGTTTTTTGTTTGAGACAGGGTTTCTCCTTTGGAGCCCTTCCTGGAACTCACTCTGTAGCCCAGGCTGGCCTCGAACTCACAGAGATCATCCTGCCTCTACCTTCCGAGTGCTGGGATTAAAGATGTGCACTACCACCACCTGACTTGAGAACATGATTTGTTTAAACCATAATACAGAGATAGTTTTCATATACCTTTGATAATTTGATAAATTAAGGAGATACACTTGGATAAGTATTTGTGCATACAAACTCCTCGAGATGGAGAGGCTCATGAAGTTCAGTGAGTGAATGTTTTCTGAGCCCTCTTTGCAAGAAAGCTGTAGTCATTTTCATAGCTATTAAACATGAATGCCACTTAGGTAAATTTATTGACCTCTATTTGTAAATTGTTGAAATTAATTTTTTTTCAAAAAAACCCTCAAGAATAATGAACACTACTTTCATACTGTGTTCTTGTTCAATTCGTTATCATAACCTCAAAACAAAGGCAGATAAACTGTGTTTAGTTTCTTGTTATAATACATGGGCAAGCATTCAGTCTCTCTGAAGCTTTTGACTATTACTTACTTTCATAATAAAGAAAGCAGCTTGATGTCTAATAAGATTGGCCTGGGAGGTTGCTTGATCAATTTGTTGATCCCCTGGAGAAAAAAAAAATAAACACATTTAAAAAACATATCCCAGAACAAGACAGACATGAATACTATCCACTTATTCTAAGAGTTGCATTTCTGTACTGTGCCAAAAAATTTAGAATTTTTGCACAGAAATTTATTACTTCTACTTTGCTCTCCCTAAATATTATATCAACCAAGAATTAAATATATTTATGACTAAAAGAAGTACTCAGAATTTCTCTACCTTTTCTGCAAACAGGATTGTAAATACATATATAGTTTAAAAATATACATTACATATATATTTTTTAATTTTTATTTTTATTAAAAATATGTATTACAGAATGTCAAAATACCACATTTGTAGGTTTTCCTGATGAAATACGAGATACCAAGTTCAATATGAATTTCAGATAAGTTGCAAGTATGATTTAGGCTAAGTATGTACCAAACAGTGTATGGAGCACACTTATCCCAAATAATTTACATTCTGTCATTTGACACTCCTGTTTAACTGGGCACTTTGTATATTAATTTTACAACTACAACAACCTTGTACATGATATCATCTCATTCATCTGTAAGTAAACACTTGATTTGTTTTCATTGCACAGTAGTTCTGGGACTGGCATTTTATTTGCTGTTGGACATATGATTTCTAGCTAAGAGCAACTATTTGAGAATATATACAACCATGTTCTCATTGAATTTGCAATCAGACCCTTCCTACTTTTTCTTTCTTAATCAGTTTCTGCTAACATGCCTTTCTACTTCTGAGACTTTAGGAAGAAGAGTAGAAAGAGGGAGGGGTTCCTTTCAGATTGATTGCAGATCAATCCTTTAACATTTGAGAAGCTGGTACTCAGAGTTGCATGTGCTCTGCTTTTAAATTAACTATCATTTTATATAGTATTTAAAAGCATTTCTTATGAGAAGCAGAAACTTTTCTAAACAAACCGATATGTAGGCATTAAGTCTGTGAGTCTCCGAAAATGAATAATTCATTTTTAAGTAAATGAGAAATTATTTTGTGCGGTTACTTACACATTTGCACATGTATAGTTAATCGTCATTGGCGACACGGGGTATTAGTTGTGAATTGTGGTTTTCTGTATCACAGACACATTTGTTACTGTGGTTTGCAATACCGTTTCCCGATGCTCTGCTCAACTGTGGTTTTCATAATCATTGTTTGGTAACCATGTAGCTGTGGCTTGAAGCTGCTAGATCCATTTGGACAGAAACAATTGCTTATAGGTTTTGCTGTCTTTTTAGTTTATAACCACGGCGAATTAAACTAGAGAATATAAAATTGAACCTTAAATATAACTCTTAGTCTCCTTTAAAAATGATGAGAAAATAGTTGTATGAATATTCAGTTTATTTCATTCATATGAACTAGAATTAATATACATATATTTATATATTTATGCATTTAGATTAACCAACATACTATTTATAATAACATACTCTAGTTATTTTTTATCAATCTTGCCTTAAATTTCCTGACTTTTGTTCCTCTCAGTTTTTAAACTGAATGTTTAGCTCAGATTTATTTGTTTCTCTTTTGCTTTGCATATTTAACTATTTCAGATGCCAAAAGAAACACTAACTGCTATGTTATTTTAATTCCAGTGGACATTCCTTTTGGGTGACATAAGTCAGCCAATTCTGTCAAAGATCTATGAAAACTGTAATGTGCAATAAATTCAGTTCTAAGATTCTCAGCATGCCAATTTAACTGTAATGAATTGAGAAGGGAGGAGGCAAAAAGCTGAAGTCTCTGTTTGCTCATCACACCACAACGTAAGGACAAATAACCTTGCTTTTCATGGTACTTAAGATCTTAATTTGTTGCATCTTCAGAGCATGGACTTGGTCATTTAGTGCATTTTCCATTGCAAAGGACCATGGACTGTACTGTTATAGCCTCATATGGCCATAGAGCTAATGGTCATGTAATAAAAGTCACAATTGGTCTCCAGCCTTGTGTTAAGATTTGCTCAGCCATACCTTTTATGAGGTAAAGCTTTACACCTTTTAGAAGATGTCCTGATGGGGTAAAAATGACACTGAGTAGAGTGTGCTTCTTGCACAAGGAGCACCCTGCATTATGCTCAATCAGTCCAGGCTCTATGCTGACCCCAGACCCTTTTAGAGTATCATTTGATGGTGTTCGTGTGTATGCTAGCCAACCAAACAAAAGGGACACAATTTCGGGTCAGAGTGGATACTTTCATAGCCTCCTGGGGGAAACATTGGCAGTATCCAGGGAATACATGTTAACTACACAGGAGTTTATTAGTAAATACTAATTACATGAAGTAGCGGGGTTATGCACAGCCACGTCCCTTATGGCACACCTGAAAGATTTGCATTTAGTACTCAGTGTATAGGAAACTGTGTGAGACTAAGCTAACTTCATTCACCTTAACTTGACTAAAATAATGCTATGCAATCATTTCAAAATATGTTCTCTTGTGCCTTGCCATTTCCCGAATCGCAAACAAACAATGAACGAATATGAAAGAAACAGAACCCAATAAACCAAAGAACCAGGAAATAGTTGTTGGATCTTACCTGATTGAAAAATTATGACAATATCAAATCTTTTATTAGCTCCACGGTGCTTCCCTGTGGCGGAACTAAGAGAATGGAAGGTCACAGGGGCAGCGTGGCACTGCAGAACTTCCACAGACTTCACACAAAGTTAGTATTTCGTATTAGAGATTATAGTTCCTCGCCTATCTAGAGCGAAATCATCCAGCTAACCATCGTCCTTTTGGATGTGAGAGAAATATCTGCCTGACTCCCGATTCCGGGATTTTACTATTTCAAATGCAAACTCCCAATCAAGCAAAGATGCAGAAGAGCGCTGTGAGCCCAGCTCAGCACCCCATCCTTGTGGGCCTAGTGGGGGGATGGTCCGCGCCGGCAGCCGTCTCCCGGGAACTCTGACAGCAATGGAATGGTCTCCTGAGAGCCTGGGCAGATGAGAGGACTTAACGGGCCCCCAGACACACAGTTGGCATTTGTGATCAGCTGGCTTTCGCCGGGGACTTTGCCAGTGGCCTAACCTTCCTGCCAAGAAACTGGAAGGGCGGAGGGCGGGGGCTCCAGGAGGGGAGCGGTAACTGGAAGCACAAAGTTTATGGAAGGAGACTGAGATTTCTTTGTGCCCTGCTAGATGGGCGAGGCATTAGGGAGGAGTGTTAGGGGGTCCGTTGGAAGAGGCTGTTGGAAGAAGTTGCTGGAAGGGGAGCGGGGGAAGGGTGGCCTGGCAGCTGCCCAGCATTGACGCGGTGACAACTGCAGAAGGTGCCCCCCTCCTCCAAACCTCACGTCTCCCTCACCCCCGTCAACCCCTTCAACTCCCACCCACGCCGCGATCCCCTTGCACTCCACGCGACCGAGGCCCGGCCGTGAGTTTGCATCCGGACTGGCTTTGGATGCAGCCAATCCTCCTTTCGCTGATGGCATAGTCTCCCCTCCCCACAGCCCGGGCGCGCCCCTCCTTCGCGCGCCTCGCCACCTCCCGCAGCAGTGCGAGCGCGGCGCGGCCCGGAGCGGCGGCGGCGGCGGCGCCCGAGTCTCTTGCCCGGCAGCCGGGGACACGGGGAGCAAGCGCGCACCTCCTCCCGCACCCTCCGCCCCTCGCAACCTGGGTCCCTCTGAGCGCTTTCCTTCCCCTCCCTCCTTCTCTTCCTTCTCTTAACACCCCCCCCCCCTTCCCCTTTTCTCTCTGCCTGGCCGATCGCTCCTTGATTCCCATCCTTCCCCCCCCCCAGCCCCATCGCTCTCCCCTTCGCCCCCTCCCCTCTTCCCTGTCACACTCTCTCGGCCCCCCTCGCTCGGCTTCTCATTCGCTTGCTCATCTCCAAACGTGGATCCGCTGCTCCCGGAGGAGCCCAGCGCCCGGATCCCGAGCGCACCGAGCACCTGGAGTCCGGCGGCCCGCGGCGGCCCGAGCCTGGCCAGCGGCGGCGGCGGCTGAGACAGAGGCGGCGACAGCCCAGGGAACGGTAGCAGGGACCGCGGACACCGCGGGAGCCCCAGCGGCAGCGGCCGCGGCCGAGATGTCCCGGCGAAAGCAGAGCAAACCCCGGCAGATCAAACGTAAGTTTGCGCGCGGGGCTGGGAGTTGGTGGGATCGGTTCCTGGGAGAGGGGCGCACGCGGCGGGGAGGGTGGGAGACGCTCGGGGCGATCGGCTTCTGGTCTTCGGGATTTGTCAAACTTTGCGAGCCAAGAGGGACAACCAGACGGCCTGAGACAGAAACACGGAGCGCAGGGCAGACGCAGCCCAATCTGCTCCTCCAGCCTTCGCGCTCCTTGGTTTCTTGCTAATTTCAACTCCCGTTCGCTGCAATTGTCGCCGCTTTTTATCATGGAGCCTTCACAGGACAATCCCCTCCCGCAGACGCTTAGAATGATTGTTGTCATTGTTGTCGCCACCAACGGCCTGCCACTCTAGGGAGCAGCTCCTGGTAACCCGGGATGAAGTTCTCAGAGCAGCTGGTGGAGGCCACAGGGCTTAGGGAGGTAACTTCCCCAGGGCTGTGGAAAAGATCAGTGTCTGGGGACCCGATCCTGGGCGGTGCCACAAGCCACGCCAAACCCGAAGTGAAACAAAAAGTAGGTGTAAAAGTTCGCGCCTCTGTTAGAGGCAGTTGTGCACCTCCTTCCTGCCCGCCGAGGTGTTGGGCTGCCACCCGGGACTCCTGGTGGGTCCCACTCCCGCCGCCTGGACGCTGTGCCAGGCGGCCTTCAGTTTGCCACTGGTCCTGGAGGCGCGGAGTCCCCACTGGGAGGGGCCGCCTTCACTTCTGGGCTCACAGGCTTTGAGTTCAAGGTAGTGGGTACGCTCCGGAAAGTGCCTAGGTGCTGTTCCTGGCCCCCGAGGGTCCTTATGGTGCCCAGAGGAACTTGCTAGACAAGAAACACCTGCCTGCCTGTAGCCCACACTCTCTCAGAACTCTTTTTAGGCCAACTTTTCTCGCCCTAGGGGAAATTACTCCTGTATGCTTTATAGGCCTGCGAAGTATATTCAACACTTTAGCCGAAAAGAAGTTAAAGGCCTTATTACTATAATAATAATGATGATGATGATGATATCATTATTATTATTATTATTATTATTATTATTATTATTTTAGGAGCTGTGTGATGTATCCCTGGTTTAATCATGTTGTTGAGGATATGGCCACTAGTTTAAAACTAATTGTTGTGTTGGATAATGCTTTAGTATTACCACCACCCCCAAAATATTAACCACTTTACCCTACATGCAAGTCAAAATTTCTCTTTGTTGTAGTTTAAAAATAAATCTTATCAACCAACTTGTCCTTGAGATGAGGGCAGGTTATAGACAGTTTGCTACAGTTAATTATTCATATACATCCTATATGTACACACACACACTCCCTGCCCCTCGGGTGTGACTTCCTAGCTTTAGTTTAGTGGCTGTTCGCCCTTCTGTTTCAGTTTCCAGTCTAAGGAACCTGTTTCAAACCCAGAAGTGTACCTCACTTCTGGCGAAAGCCCTCCTAATCAATCCTGTGGCTACACTGTTCCCCAAGACTTTCACTGTTTTAGGTCCACGGAACCATCCAATTACTTTCTACTTTTTGATGCCGAATTGATCAGAGGCTTCTGTTTACCTCTTACATTTTATTGTAAAAAAAAAAAAAAAAAGGTGTTTATTAGAAGAAGGGGTTAGAAACAGTAAATGCAAATGCTTTTTAGTTCGTGGCTGTCGCCTAGATTGTTAATAAATAATTAATATTAATTGATTGTATGGCACAAAGACCATCTGATTCTACTTGGGAATACTTTGTTATCTTCTCAATTAGCTACATTCAATTTTTTTTCTTTTCTTTCATGTCCACCTCATATAATTGAAGATTAAAGCATTGGAACTAATTACTGATGCTACTCTGTGTTATAGGTCATAAAACATTTTACTGGCTTATTTGAATGCTGTGATTTATTAACTATCTAAAATCTGTAAAAGTTGTCTCATTGGAAAATTAATAAATAGATATATTGCATATATGTGTATATTTGTTCACAGGGATCATTACCAGCTGATCTATTTATATGTATGTAATATATATGTGCATTTTAGGCTTTTCTTGGATTCATTTTGGGGTCACAGTAGCAATTTATGCAAATGTGGACTCCTCTCTCCCTCCACTGTTAAGGAAAATGAAAAAGAAATGATTTTTGAATTGTTCAGTGGGAGCTTGCAGTCTCCAAGCTTTTGGGGAGGAGATATTTAAATGTGCTTTGAGCAGCTCAAAAGTCGTTTTGGCTGTACTCTGTAGTTTCTTCGTCTCCTTTTGTCTGTCTAGGAATATGAGGCAGGTTTTCGGAGAGAGAAGTTTGCCTTGTACTCAAAGTCTTTACCATGATCCCTTGCACCTTCCAGTTTTAGATGTGTGTAAGAAGTGCACTGTTTCCCATGAAAATTGACAGAGTTTCTTTGGATAGTCTGCATCAAATGTTAAGTTTGTGCCAGGGCATGAAGATGCTCTGTGAAACAAAAGCATTTCCCACACTTCAGAAAAACTACATTTTAAACTTGGAAACGTCCAGGATTTGAAAATACAGCGTTGGCACTGCTGATAAAAACATACCCAGTTTCGAGCAATAACAGCAAGCAGAAGTCAGCTCATAGCAGAAACTCTGGAGACAGTCAATTTAAAGGACAAAAAGGTTGTTGGGCACACAGGTTTTTTTTTTTTCCTCCCTTCTTTTACTGCATACAGTTCCTTGCTATCTAAAATTGTGATTTATGCAGTATTTTAATATTTTGCTTATTCTTTCCCCTTGGGTGCTCTCCGGGCAGCGATAAAAAGGCGACGCTGAAAGAGCACCATTAATTTGCTATGATGACTGGCCAGATAAGAGGAGATAATGGGAAAGATAAGCGGAGAAGATATACCATCAGAAACCCGATTATTACCATTAAAATTCCAGCCCAGCAATCTGCAGAAGCCTGATAATTCCTTCTCCGTTTCCACCACTTTGGATGATAAGGCAAAAAATAGTCACTCAGTGCTCCTTGATTAGACTGCCTGGATTTCCTGATAATACAGTGATAAATTATGTATTTTGCCCCCATGTTTTGTCCCAAAATTCAGATTTTTTTTTCCTATTCCGAGACTATATTTCCTGCCTTTCCTCTGAGAAGCTTTCTCTTATAAGCTGTTATTGTAATCCTGGATTGATAAAAAGCTCTGATAGCACGGAGGTGTTTGGTGTGGCAGCCGTATCATGCTATCAGCCCATCTCCCCACACAGCTGCTCACTGTTGTTGTTTTTAGCCTTATCACCTCCTGCCAATATGCCAATAAATTGCCCAGATTGTTCTCCATTCTGGGGCTTCACTGCAAAATTTATGACAGAAACGATGATTTTTTTTCTTTTCCCAGCATCTCTTTATGGGTAGTAAACGTGTTGTGTGTACAATTTTATTGTTATTTTCTTCTTTAAGCTGTTGTCTTTAGTTATGTGCTTACTGCCCTGTATGTCTCCAACTTCAGTCTTGCTTAAGTGTCTTGGTTATGGGTTCAGGTAAAGATGGACATCACATACATATATATATATATATATACATACATATATATATATATATATATATATATATATATATACATACCATTATCTGCTCCTTGGTAGCTAATGCAGAGGCTAAAAAGAAGAGAAGGCAAGCAATTCAGATATTTTGTTTTTATAGAAAATTAAGCAAAGACACTTTTCTTTGTACCATTGTAGCTTTATAAACTTTTTAGATGACTTAGTTTTGTCGAGCCAGGAGGACATTAGTGTGCAGTCCAGACATGTTCAGGTACCCAATAATTTGTGATGAAGTAGAAAGAAAGGCTGATTTAAAAGGCAGAATAACCTTTTTTAAAAAGTGAATTCGGATTTTAGGAACAGGTAGGCTGAAAATGAAATGCCCCATATTATAAATAATATTGTAACAGTTATTTAAAGGGGGTTTGCAGGATTTGGAAGCTAGACACAGTAGCTAAAAGTCATTTTTTTTTAAAATTTGAGATGTTATTCAACCAATTTTAGGCCATATGACTCTCCAAGTATCACATTGAAATTTTAATGGTATGTGCTATTTTTTGAAAGAGTGAGTGTTATCAATGTTTTATTTCCAAAATGATTATTTTTTTACTATCAGAATGCCATGTATTAAAATTATTATTTATGTAAGTTGTTGAAGAACACTAGGTGAATCACTTTTAGACATTTGAAGTTATAGCATGTGAAAGAGGTGAATATATATAATGAACATAATTATTTTCACTATTCTACCGTAGGATTTTTACTGCTCTATTATTGTTCAGTCCATAATATTCTACTTTCTCAACATTATTTTGGAAGGGTTTAGAGACTGCTATGCTTCGTTGAAACACACTGATCCTTTTCACAAATACTTGGAAGTTTTCTACCTGCCAATTGTGAAGACAGGTTTGGTTGGAAATAAATTACTCATTCTAAACTTTTGAAGGCAATTAAATATAGCATTAAATATAGTACTTTCTAATTTGTCTATAATACCTTTCGTGTAAGAAATTTAACTATCTACATTGTTGAGTGGGAAGCATTTTTGAAAACCTGTGTTTATACCAGTCATCAAGTAAAGGAATATATGCGTGTGTTATGTATGCATATATGTTATATTAGTGGTTTTTGTCAATAAAACAGAATGATACCAATTGTTTGTAAGATAACTTAAAATCAATTCATTCCTCTTCATATTTGCAATAATATTAATTTGTATAAATTTTTGAAAATATAGGAATAATTGTTCAGTAGACTTAAAATTGACCAATTTTAAGATGCTAACTAAGTAATACTGATGTTTGAGAGTTAATGGGTTATGAGGATATGAGAAAGTTTATGTATAAAAGATCATTAATCATGAAGTCAAGTTTTTAAGGCTCAATAAAATCCATGAGGCAAACACAAACAACCCAACATTTTCATTTCTGGTTACTGCAAACTGTTAGGGGCGAACATTGGACTTTGTGACTTGTGGATACCAGAGCAGCTCTTCCCTTTTCCACTTTTGGTCACTTTCAAAGCAACTCATTTGTAAAACTGTGATGTCAGAAGAATCATCAGTGCTTACTGTTATATATGACAGCCTTTTAAAATAAATAAGCAATTTGAATTTTCTGTAAATTACAAATTGGGAGTTTAAGAACAGTATAATTGCATTTGTCCAGTCACAAGTATAAGCATTTGTGAACTTCTGAAGGGGTCATTCATTCGCTTAACTGAACAGTGTCCATTTAGACATCAAATATTACCAATGTATCTTGGGAAATTACAATTTTACTTACTGAGCTTCAGAACCATAGACATAGAAAAATATTATGTGACTCTCCTTGTGTTATACAAGTTGGTGCCATTCAAATACCAAGGCAAACACTGAGTGTTTAGGTAATTTGCTCCTGAATTTAAATCCTGGTAACTTAAAATTTTATTACATGTTAAGGGTTAATGCAAAGATGTACACATTGCTTTGCTTTTGTGCAAGTGTAGGATAAACAAATATCCATCAATAAGAGACTGTCTAGTGAATGTCTATCAATATCCAGTACTGATGTGCATTAAGTCAACTTTTTATATGAGTTAAGGTAACATATCCTGGTTTTG